TAACAGTGAAAACATAGGTGAAAAAGCCAGAAAGGGGGGAGAAACTAACAGTGAAAACATAGGTGAAAAAGCCAGAAAAGATATATTCCAACTATTCACTGATATAATTTTGTATGCAATAAACAATTAAACTTTCTGAAAAAACAAAACAGAAAGTTAGTAATACTTGTTTAACGAAATAAATTCTGGAAAAAATAGTATAGGAATAAATCGAGCCCACTGAATACACAGTATGTCCTTAAGGAAATTATTCCCCTCAAGTATCCGAGGTGTTGGAATATATCCTCCCAGGATAAAACGATTTAACTCACCGAAGTGTTGGTACCAAAACGCCGGTGAACAGCGAGCCACTCGAAGGGGGCCTGACCAAACCGGGTCGCGGGTTATTCCGGATTGAATTTTTCGTTAATTATTTAATTAATTAATTAAATAATTGAAAGAAATTTTGTCCAAAAAGATTAATCAATCAATCTTTGACCGAAGCCGAAACCGAGCGACGACGACGGTGCGACGATTGCCTTCTTCTTAACTCTTTAAGAGCTAGAAGAAGAGCAATTATATATATACCCATCAAAAACCATTTCTTCCTCCGATACGGAACAATGTCCCTTTGCCAAAAGAAACTCAAATATTTTATTTTCCCTCTATTTCTCATTCACCCTCTTTAAGCTACAAAAGATTAAAATCCCAACATTCACAATCAACAAGTTAGAGAAATATTGAATTCTATGGTTGGTTGCTTCCTACTGGTGAAGGGGACCCTGTCGTACCCTTGGGGTTTTATCAGGGATGGCCCATTTCTTCCATGGGTCCCCCACCCCTACACCCTCTACCCCTACCCCTACCCTCTACCCCCAAACCCCCCTTTTTTTCTTCCCTTTATAAGTGTTGTGGGTGGCTATATTTTTGGGACATAATGCAAAAAGAAGAAAAGTTGTATTCTTGGATGCATTCTCTACTCTTTTAACTCCTATAACTTTCTTGATTCTTCTTCCTTCTTTTCTTTACAACCCCTTTTAATTTCTCTGCAAAATCACTGTACAAACGTACGTAAATATACAAAATGGATAAGCCACAAGACTTAGAAGCGAAGAAGATAAAGAGAAATCGAGACAGCAGTAAACATCCAGTTTACAGAGGAGTACGAATGAGGAATTGGGGAAAATGGGTATCAGAAATTCGGGAGCCACGTAAAAAATCACGTATTTGGCTAGGGACTTTCCCAAATCCAGAAATGGCAGCTAGAGCTCATGACGTGGCAGCTTTAAGCATAAAAGGTAATTCAGCAATTCTCAATTTCCCTGAACTAGCTGGTTCACTCCCTAGACCAGTCACACTTAGCCCGCGTGATATTCAAGCAGCAGCAGCTAAGGCAGCAGCAATGGACAAATTTGATAACAATAATATAAACATTACTACTTCTTCTTCTTCTTCTGATGATTCATCACCTAATAATTCTACTTCAAATATGTCAACTTCTTCTTCGCTATCATCGTTGGTATCAGCAATTGATTTGGCGACATCTGAGGAATTGACTCAAATTATTGAGCTGCCAAGACTAGGCACGAGTTATTTTGACGATGAGTTGAAGAATGATTTTGTGTATTGTGATCACTCCGCAGTGGAAGGTTGGTTATATCCTGATGATGGAGGAATGATTTATTCAAGCTGTTTTGAGCCTTCTTTGTTGTGGAATTACTAATTTTTTAAGTACTGTGTGCTAATGATGCAACCCTTCAAATTTGTGTGGACTATGGATTTTCTTCTTCATCTTTTTTTTTTTGGTTGGTGTTTGTATAAAAAAAAAAAAAAGGTTTTAGCCTTTTCTTCAATTTTTCTGTAGAGGGGCTAAAAAGACTTTTCGATCCTATTTCCTTTCTTCCCTTTTGTAAGTTGTAAGTTTTGCTATTCAATAAATCTAACTGTACAGTGTTAGGAAGAGAAGAATTAAAAGGTCATAAATGCCTTGTCAATATTTGTTGGTCTACTGACCTATCTTACTAGCTCTTTCGTTTGTGTTTCTTCTCTCTTTAAATGAGTGATGTTAACTGTTAAGCCAATGCTTAACTCTGTCATCTATCAAACTATAACAGATTAATTATGAGTTTAAGAGATCTGTTCTTGACTAGGTATACATTTCACAAATATGAGACATAAAATTTTCTTGATATTTCGTCTGAGTGTCGAGTCCTAATCCTAAAAAGAAAAATTGGACTATTCATCGGACAACTTGTCACTAATTTCTTCCACATGTTGAGGAACAATTAATTCTTTTACATTCAAGCTAATCTCATTTTTTCCAGTTTCATTTTCATATTTTCCCCCCACAAAACCCAAATAGACAATTAGAGCGGAAAAAATGACTTTTGATTTTATTTTTAAAAATTTCAAGATGAATACTCGTGATAAAACCAGTAGTCTCGTCAGATTTTTGAGATCTGAAGAAATAGACCGTCGAAATATTTGATGCAGAAATGAGCTGATCAAAACCCTACACTATTTATGTTACCCTTTCGACTGTGAAAGGAAAGAAGATCGCTGTGCTTTCTTGGGTCAAGTGGCAGTAGGAGAAAGTGATGAGTAATGGTGTTTGTAAAAATATGTGATGCTGACAAATACTTTTTTTTTAAAATTATTTTTCAGAAAAAGATATATCAGTAATTGTTTTTATTTCCCAATATAGTAACAGTATCCAACTCGGGTTCAACACAAACCTTGCTATTTATGTTAAGTGGAAATAAATATATAGAAAAAGCTAAAGGGGAAGGAAAATCAGGGGGTGGTTTGACATAACAGTTACAGCTTTATACAGTCAGTTTCTAGTTTGGACTTTTCCTCTTTTTGAGTAAATTGGGAGATATGAGCATATCAACAGTATTCATTATCAGAAGCCTTAATTAGAAGGGAATCAGACCATCATCATAATGGTACTGCAGATTCTCAGAAAAAGGGTACATGTGGAAAGTGGAAACTATTAAAATGAACAAGTGAGAAGCTATGTTTTCAACTTTTTCGTAAAATTGGGGCAGAACTTTTCATAACTTGTAAAGGAGAATAAAGAAAATCTCCGTAACTCCTTGAAAACTCGTGCAAAATCGATTTGTATGACAGGTTATTCTGAGTAGGCGTTTGGACATAAGAATTGTAAAATTCGAAAAAAATGGCGAAAATTTTAGTATTTAAAATTTAGAGTTGTATTTGGATATAAATTTCAGTTTGGGTTATTTTTAAAGTTTTATGAGTGATTTGAGTGAAAATTTTGAAAATAGTTTTTTACAATTTTTCAAATTTTCGAAAATTTCCAAAATGCATCTTCAAGTGAAAATGTGAAATTTTATGAACAAACGCTGATTTCGAAAAAAAGTAAAACTTTTTTGAAAAAATCTTCCATCAAATTTTATGTCCAAACGAGCTCTAAGACTTTCTCCGTGTAATTCTATTTCTTTTACTCTTTTTTTGGGGGAGGGGGGGGTTTCAGGCTGTGTTTGGTATGAATGAAAATGTTATCCACGAAAAGTTCTTTTTAGAAAAAATAAATGATTATCATACATAGTAGTTTTTATGTTTAATTAATGAACAAAGGTGGACCCAGGATTTGAGCACGACGAGGGCACCACTGATTGTTAATCACTAACGATAAAATTCGGCGTGCAACTCTTTAAAAATATAATGATTATGATAACTTATCATCTAAGTATAAACAAAAAGAAGTTCTAAAGAAAAAGAAAGTACTAAAGAGAGAGATTTTTTCTCCATATGGGTGCTATGGAAAGGGAAGGTGTTCCATTAAGCATGTTTCAAACTTTAAAATTTCTTGTTTCTTAATTAAAAAGGGGTTAGTGATCAAAAGGGCGTTCAAACTTTAAATTATTAAAAATTTACTAAAGAAATCAATATTAGGGGTACGTTAATAGTCAAAGAACTGAAGAAGAGTCTCAAACTCTTAGTTGCCATTGCCGAGTCGGAGTCAAAGTGATTGTTGAAGATGGTTTTGGCAGAAGGATTTGTATTTTTCTATTTTTGGAGCGATAAGTTACAATTTGAGGCTTTTAATTTTAAGGGAGGGATTTGAAATAGATAAATTAATTAAGTTAACTATGATGTATTAGTACTAAACTATAATTGAATTCGAAAGAAAGATAAAAGTAAAAAATAAAGCAATTTGCTATTAAGTATAAATAATGTTATATTCAAAGAACTAAAAACGAAAGAAGGAGAAAAATCTACAGATGGGATTCAAACCCACGTCATTGAGCAAGGAGGGAATTTAAGCGCCCAACACAACCACTTCTCCCATTCGCCTTTTTGTGTACGGGAGCACAAGTAAAATATTTAAGGGGTCTAGTAATCCCTCAACCCACAACGTAGGTCCTGCTCTGTTAATGGGCATAAATTATTATTACAAGAGTGGGTGTAGGGGGTTTAGGGAAGCTCGGGTCGACGAGGGGGTGGTATCGTGGTTTGGGG